CGCCGCGGGAGGGGAGGGGAGGAGAGGGGGAAGGGAGCGGCCGGCGGCGGCGGGGGTGGGAACCCTAGTGGAGCGGGCCGCTACACCTTTGGGTAATTATTGCAAGGATGTGCCAGTTTCAGTTTATTTATAAGCCTGTGTTCATGATCCAGGGGGGCTAAGTTTGTGCTAGTCATTTCACTCCAGAGCTTAGCTCATTTCCAGAAAAAAAAAGACACGATTTTGCATTTCAAATAACTTGTTGAGTATAATAACTATACATGTAGAAACCGTAATATTCGTGGATCTGTGACTTGCCGTCCTGGCATCAAATGATACATTTCTTCCAAAATGCTTCCGAAAATGAATATTGTGTATGAACAATATTTGCTACCTTCCAAGCAACGTCACTTGCATTTGCCAAGTAGCTAGTTTCCCCTTCCAATAGCAGCAGATCATGGGGCCATGCATGACCGAGGCCGACAAACGATTTTGCATTTCAAATAACTTGTTGAGTATAATAACTATACTTGTAGAAACCGTAATATTCGTGGATCTGTGACTTGCCGTCCTGGCATCAAATGATACATTTCTTCCAAAATGCTTCCGAAAATGAATATTGTGTATGAACAATATTTGCTACCTTCCAAGCAACGTTTTGGTTGCGCAGAACTGTTGCTGAAGCAACTTCCAATGAAGCTTGGATCAAAGATATCAATGGTCAGATCAACATTGACACTTCCCTGCAGGTGGTTACCTTGTGGGAATTTATTTCTCAAACCCCGACGATCCATGGCGCTGAAGATAAGTGGACCTGGACCTGGGATTCAAAAAAGGATTTTTTTTTTTGGCAAAGCCAGTATATAATGCTTTTTTTTTCTATTAAGAACACGCAGGAGATCTGCGTGCCGATATCACAGCGGCGATCAATTGTAGGAGTTATTTTTGGCAGCACTTTGATGTGTTAGAGTCAAGAGTGAAGACCCTGAAATCCAAAATATTTCTAGCCATTGCTCTCCAGTCTCCAGAGCTTAGCCAAGTCAAGCAGATTTTGTAGCAATTGCATTTGCCAAGGAGTAATAGTTTTAATTCAACAAATAATTAGTGCCTTTCTGGCTTATATCTGAAATATATCCTTATGTTGCACATTCACCTTGCATAATGAGTATACAAAATTTCAGAAAACTGCCAGTACATTTCAGGTTGCTTATACCTGTTTAGAGATTATAATTTCCGAGGATTGGTGACAGAAAAGTTGTAATCACCTAATCATAGTGCGGAAACTTGTATAGGTGTTAAAATTGGCACTCCCTTATTTTGTTCAATGCACATACAAATTTAGAGTCGTTTTCCCTTCTATAAATTGGACTGAACTGAAGCACGAGTAAATTTCAATGCTACTGATGACTGGAATATTCATGATCCAGAGGACTAAATTTGTGCTAGTCAATTCGGTCCAGAGCTTAGCAATGACTGGTAGGTCTTGTAGCACTTCACTTGCCGAGCATTTAGTTTCCACTTTCTGTTAGTAATAGCAGCAGATCATGACGAGGAAAGTTTTTTGTGTGTTCGAAACGAGGCCGGCAAACGATTTGGCAGCACAGATAACTTGCTCAATATGATCTCCACACTTGGATCCATCATCCATGTATCTGTGACTTACCATCCTAGTGTCTTTTTGTTGGAGGAAAATGCTGTCCACAACTGCACATTGTGTAGGAATCTACCACTGCTGTTACAGAGAGTCCCAGCAGGAGGCCAGAATCAACTATTCCCAGGATTTTTAGAAGCTTATTCACTTTCGATGGACAAAATCTCTGATTTGCATTGGACTTGGCCTTGGAGAACACGGCGGAGAACACCACTGCTTGCCATCCACGATCGTGCCACTATATATACAGCAAACCCGAAACCTCCCATGACTCGAACTCCTCTTCCCTCCCAAGCCCAACAGGAGCTCTTCGCTTCGCAACCCCCTCCATCCCCATGGCGACGCCGCAACCCGCCGGGCTGGCGCTGCGGGCAGGAGCGGTGTTCAGGCCCAGCGGCCGCCAGCTCATCACGCTGTACCTCGGCCGCAACGCGCTCCGCGGCGAGCTCCCCGACGCCGCCGTCATCCCCGGCGGCTGCGTCGTCACGGCGGGCGTGGACGTCTTCGCCGCGAGCCCCGGCGCGCTCCCCTTCCAGGCGAGCCACAGGGGGGCGCACGGGGAGGTGTGGGGCTACTTCGCCGCCGCGTCCCCGACCGCCGACAGCGCCCAGCCGGCGCCGGGCGGGTGCTGGGTGCGGCACGGCACCGAGAAGCTGTACGAGCTCAAGGGGGAGGCGCTCGGCTACCGGAGCAGGTACGCGTTCTACGTCACGCGGGCGGAGCGGGCTCGGGTGGTGTGGACGCCGACGCGGTGGCTGATGAAGGAGTACCGCCTCCACAAGGGCGCCGCCGTCTTCCGCAGCAAGCTGCCCGACCACCCCAACGCCAACATGGATTTCGTGGTCCGCAAGGTCTTCACGAAGCCGGCGGTCCCCGTGCCGCCGCCTGCCCGCTCCGGCTTGGTGGTCCGGCGGGTAGGAGGCAGCGTTCCGTCGCGCCAAGCCCGACCAACCCGGGCGGCGTTCGTCAAGGCCCGAGGTGGCGCTCAACCGATACTGCCGTGTGCCTGCCGTGGCGAGACGCTCCGGCCAGGAGGAAACCCCCTTCCGCCGCGCTCGGACCGACCACCTAAGGTCATCGCGAAGCCGGTGCTCCCCGCGGCGCCTCTGATCCTTGCACCGCCTGCCCACTCCAACGAGGACGCCGGCAACCGCAACGACAATGCAATGTCGTGGACGCGCGTCGGCGGGGAGTGCAACTACAACTACAAGGTACCCAGCGGCCGCCAGATCATCGTCGAGTACCTCGGCCCCAAGGCAACCACTGGCAAGATCGCCGACCGCGCCGCCCCGGGCTTCGTCGCGGAGGGCGTGGACATCTTTGCGGCGAGCCCGGACGCGCTCCCCTTCCCGCCCGGCCACAGGAAGCAGGACGGGGAGGCGTGGGGCTACTTCTTCGCGGCGAAGCCTGCCAGCAGCATGCGGCGGGCGCCCGGCGGGTGGTGGATGCAGTACGGCGACGCGAAGGGGTACGAGTTCCGCGGGGAGGTGTACGCCCGCCACCGCAGGTTCGAGTTCCGCGCGGCGCGGGCGGACGACGGAGGCGGCAAGGTGACGTGGGAGCAGACGCGGTGGCTGATGAAGGAGTACGCGCTCCACAAGGGCGCGGACGCCTTCCGCGGCGCGACGACCGGCCCGGCCGGTGCCAACATGGACCTCGTGGTCTACAAGGTGTTCACGAAGCCGGTGGTCACTCCACCGCCGCCACCTGCACTCTCGAGCGAGGCGGAGAACCAGGCGAGGAAGGGCGCTGGATCTAGTTCAGACTCGGATGCGCCCAGGATTGTTTTCGACATTGATCTGAACAACTAAGCGCCCACGCCCGGGCTCGCTGTAGCAGAGGTCTCGTTTGATCCACGCACGGAACACGGAAGGGAATTAACCCAGCTGGAGGCATCTCCGTTGCAGCCAGCAAACGTTCGCCAAGGTTTTGATTTGCCTTCCATGGATTTTCGTTGGCAGCTGCATTGCTCTCTGAAAGTGGAGAAACTTGTACAAGTGAGAGTTGGTAGGAATGTTCCCGTTTGTTTCTTTACATATGATGACATTTTGATCTGTCTATCCTTCTATGGTCATCTTATACTCATACTGATTACTGCAATTGGCAAGAACAGATGAACTGTTATGTTTACTCCCAGATAGCTGTAAGACATCTTATCTTTCTTCAAGGCAGATGGTGCCTACATTTTCGCAAGCAAGTACGTAGCCATTTATACTGAAATGAGATCATGAAAATATATCAGTAGTTTGATTGTACACATCAGTGTGACTGTACATTCAGAAGTAGCAATGTGATTGATTATACACAGAGAACCTCTCGAAGGAAAAACTAACAAGTTACACTCCTAGAGAAAAACATGAACTGACGAAGTTGCAGCCTGGAGGTAGCCCTTCTTTACTGAGTATTTATAAGTCTAGGGTAGATAATGGTACTAGTAACTCATCACTACTTGTTGCACAAAAATTCTGCTGGGTCCAAGATCATGGACTTCCATTCATCTGTTCTAACACTGCATAATAGACTTCATAAACGACTCCCTTCCGACATGGCCATACAACATCCTGTTAAGAACGAACTGCTCAAGTCTCAGTCGTCTCCTCTTCGTCAAAGAAGTCCCAGAGGGCACCATAGTCACTTTCTGCTTCCAACCTCATCTTAGCAGATAGATCCATCTCTCCTAGGGATTCAAGACCCTTGACAAGTGTTATGTATGTTGTCCTGTCAGGTTCCGTGTCCCATAGTTTCATAAGACGGAAGCAGTCCATTGTTAATTGTGTGAACTCAGCATCTAAGAGTGTCTTCAGAAGCAGATTGAAACCATCCGTGTCAGGTTCCAATTGTTCCCTCTTCAGATACGAACAGGCTTTGCCAACCTCGGACCTCAATCCTTTCCTAGCAAGCACTGTAATAAGATCAACATACCAGAACAACCTAGGCTTGTACCAGTGCTCCTTTCGAATCTCATCAAAGACCTGACATAGATGACAAAACAAGAGGCATCTTAGTGTGCATTTCTCAGTTCCAGTCAACAAGTATCTGCTTGCCAGCATCATCTATTAATTAATCTAAATGCAGATAAGAATAAAAACTGTGCTAATGAATATGCAGTAAATTGTCATGCAAATACCCAAAAGAAAGCATTTACAAAACATATGATAATGGTAAAAGGGCAACAACAACAGACTAGATTAAGGTAACCCCGTGTACTGCCAATGAATTATCACCATTCATGACCAGCAGGCCCTCTCGCCAACGGCACGGGCACACTGTGTGGGACGCAATATCACTAGTTAGTATCTTTTGTGTGTTTTGGCATGTTCGGTCTAATAATATGACCACCACATGCAACTAGTGTCTCCGTTCTTCTTGATGAAAAGGCAGCACAACAGCCGGTTGCTCGACTAAAATTTATAACTCATGTAAATTTCGCACGTACAGCATTCGTTATGTAGAGTAAGAAAAACGTGCTATTTAAGATTCTTGTTGCAAGAATGATAAGGAACTATACCCACATTCCTCACTTCACAGATTTGTTCCTTCTGGTATGGTTGAGAAATGTCATCTATAGCACACCTACTGCAGCCATACAATGAAACAACATTGGTATGGAGCAAAGCAGGAACAATTCGGAGATCGGTGACTCATAAGTGGCCAGTGTACAGACTGTTTCCCAACAATGGTAGGTGATCTAAACAGACAGTTCGTGAATAGCCTAGGTTTCCTATAGTGACAAATCGGTGGAAATTGGTGGAGCAGGCTAGAAATACAAGTATACAACCTATCCACCATAATGTACAGGAATGCTCATAATCAGCAACTGTGAGTACACAACAGGCTAATCAACCATGTGAAAATATCTAGCTGAATCGTCAGTAATTTTGGTGCTCAGATTAAAATCCTGTGAATCCCAACTAATACACTCTGCTCCCAGTACTGCACACACAGCTTGGGTTATACCTTGAGTGCCAGGTGGGCCTCGCCCTGCGCCGCGAGCTCGCGGAAGACGGCGACCATGTCGGCCTTCAGCAGCCGCCGCAGCTTGGGGTCCGTCGCGACGGCGCTGCCGGCGGGGGCTCCAGAGAGGGTGGCGCGCTTGAGCGACTGGACGGCCTGGATGGCCTCGGTGCTGAGGTAGCGCCCCCGCTGCATCGGCTTCCGGTTCTTGCCCCGGTCCCGCATCGTGATGGTGGAAGATGTGCTCCGGCGAACAGCGGCGGTGGAAGTGGCTAGGCGGTGGGGTGAGAAGGCGAGCGACGAGGAGAGCATCGCCGTGCGGCGGCGGAAGTGCGGTAGTTTTGGATGAGGTGCGCATCAGGGAGAGAGGAAAAAGAATCACTGAATTTTGTTTTTCTTATTGGAATATATATGAACCTTTTTTTTTCTTGCAACGGAAACATTTTGCCCTGCAGCTGAAACTCCTAACCAAAATCAGACCAATACTTTCCTATTGATGAAAAGAATACATTCTACTTTGCCACACTATTTGAGCCGCACTTCCCTTCCTTCTTGTAACGCCCGGATAATTAAGCTACAGTAACCACCCACTAATGTTACCATGTCATCGCAATTACTTCTTAAAAAAAGTCTCGCTTCGTTACAAATTGAATTCAAATTCAGTTTAAACTAAAGTCAAATTAATATTTTCCTAACAACAAAATAAAATTGTTCAAAGTATTGCAATAATCCCAAAGCAATTATAAAAGCAAAACCAACATCTTATAAAATATTTAAATGTCCTAAAATAATAAAAACAGTGACCTAAACAGTAAATTAAATGTTGTTCTTAATTATAAAAATACTAATATGTTTTATCTAGGTGCCAAACTTTTTGTGGCAGAGGCCTAAGTAGTAATACTATTTTAGGAACTAAGTTTATAATTATATGACTAAAAATAAAAAGAAACAAAAATAAAATAAAACAGAAAAGTAAAGAATTAAACAAAAATTGCTAGACACGTGAGGCCTACTGCTATAGGAGGAGACCCAGCCCACCTCCACCTCTCCTACTAGCTCACGCTACAGTGGGAGCGGGGGATCGTGGCGGCCATCCACGCCTCTAGGGCCGCCGTGTCAAGCATCCAGTGCATCCCCGAGGAGGATAAGTTCGTCCCTTACCCCATCGACTAATCCTAGCCCCTCACTTCTCCCTCCTCGCGCTGCCTCTTTCTCCCCCGCAACGACCGGAGTCGTCGTCCCCGTAGCCTTCGTCGCCCACGCGCTCTCCGTCGTCCTCGCGCCCCGCCGAGGCGTCCAGAAGCTCCGCCAGCGACCGCTACGTCCTCCTCGACCACGAGCTCAAGCCAGGACCCCCTACATCATTGGGATCGAGCTTCGTTACCTCAGACCCCCGCCGGCGTTCGTCTTTGACTCCGGCGCCGTCGAGCCCTCCCCAAGCCCACTTAGCACCTCTACAGGATCGTTGTGAGCCCCTCTGTCGATTCTTCGCCTTTCCCCGTCATTTTTGAAGGAAATATGCCCTAGAGGCAATAATAATGTTATTATTTTATTTCCTTATATCATGATAAATGTTTATTATTCATGCTAGAATTGTATTATCCGAAAACATAATACTTGTGTGAATACATAGACAAACCAAACGTCACTAGTATGCCTCTACTTGACTAGCTCGTTAATCGAAGATGGTTATGTTTCCTAACCATAGACATGTGTTGTCATTTGATTAATGGGATCACATCATTAGGAGAATGATGTGGTTGACATGACCCATTCCATTAGCTTAGCACACGATCGTTTAGTATGTTGCTATTGCTTTCTTCATGACTTATAGGTGTTCCTATGAGTATGAGATTATGCAACTCCCATTTACCGGAGGAACACTTTGTGTGCTACCAAACGTCACAACGTAACTGGGTGATTATAAAGGAGCTCTACAGGTGTCTCCAAAGGTGAATGTTGGGTTGGCGTATTTCGAGATTAGGATTTGTCACTCCGATTGTCGGAGAGGTATCTCTGGGCCCTCTCGGTAATGCACATCACATAAGCCTTGCAAGCATTACAACTAATGAGTTAGTTGCGAGATGATGTATTACGAAACGAGTAAAGAGACTTGCCGGTAACGAGATTGAACTAGGTATTGAGATACCAACGATCGAATCTCGGGCAAGTAACATACCGATTACAAAGGGAACAACGTATGTTGTTGTGCGGTCTGACCGATAAAGATCTTCGTAGAATATGTAGGAGCCAATATGAGCATCCAGGTTCCGCTATTGGTTATTGACCGGAGACGTGTGTTGGTTATGTCTACATTGTTCTCGAACCCGTAGGGTCCGCACGCTTAAAGTTTCGATGACAGATATATTATGAGTTTATGAGTTTTGATGTACCAAAGTTAGTTCGGAGTCCCGGATGTGATCATGGACATGATGAGGAGTCTCGAAATGGTCGAGACATAAAGATTGATATATTGGACGGCTACATTCGGACACCGGAAGTGTTCCGGGTGATTTCGGAGAAAACCGGAGAGCCGGAGGGTTACCGGAACCCCCCCCCCCTCGGGAGAAGTAATGGGCCATATGGGCCTTAGTGGAGAGAGAGAGAGGGGCAGCCAAAGGTGGGCAGCGCGCCTCCTCCCCCCTGGTCCGAATTGGACTAGGAGAGGGGGGGCGGCGCCCCCCTTTCCTTCTCCCTCCCCACGTCTTTCCCCCTCCTAGTAGGAGTCCTACTCCTACTAGGAGGAGGACTCCTCCTTGGCGCGCCATAGGGGCCGACCGGCCTCCTCCCCTTGCTCCTTTATATACGGGGGCAGGGGCACCCCTAGACACACAAGTTGATCCACGTGATCATATTCTTAGCCGTGTGCGGTGCCCCCTTCCACCATAATCCTCGATAATATTGTAGCGGTGCTTAGGCGAAGCCCTGCGGCGGTAGTACATCAAGATCGTCACCACGCCGTCATGCTGATGGAACTCTTCCCTGGCACTTTGCTGGATCGGAGTCCGGGGATCGTCATCGAGCTGAACGTGTGCTAGAACTCTGAGGTGCCGTAGTTTCGGTGCTTGATCGGTCGGGCCGTGAAGACGGACGACTACATCAACTGCGTTGTCATAACGCTTCCGCTGTCGGTCTACAAGGGTACGTAGATCATACTCTCCCCTCGTTGTTATGCATCACCATGATCTTGCGTGTGCGTAGGAAATTTTTTGAAATTACTACATTCCCCAACAGTGGCATCCGAGCCTGGTTTTATGTGTTGATGTTATATGCACGAGTAGAACACAAGTGAGTTGTGGGCGATATAAGTCATACTGCTTACCAGCATGTCATACTTTGGTTCGGCGGTATTGTTGGACGAAGCGGCCCGGACCGACATTACGCGTACGCTTACGCGAGACCGGTTCTCCCGACGTGCTTTGCACAAAGGTGGCTAGCGGGTGACAGTTTCTCCAACTTTAGTTGAACCGAGTGTGGCTACGCCCGGTCCTTGCGAAGATTAAAACAGCACCAACTTGATAAACTATCGTTGTGGTTTTGATGCGTAGGTAAGATTGGTTCCTGCTTAAGCCCATAGCAGCCACGTAAAACTTGCAACAACAAAGTAGAGGACGTCTAACTTGTTTTTGCAGGGCATGTTGTGATGTGATATGGTCAAGACATGATGCTAAATTTTATTGTATGAGATGATCATGTTTTGTAACCAAGTTATCGGCAACTGGCAGGAGCCATATGGTCGTCGCTTTATTGTATGCAATGCAATTGCGCTATAATGCTTTACTTTATCACTAAGCGGTAGCTATAGTCGTGGAAGCATAAGATTGGCGAGACGACAGCGATGCTACGATGGTGATCAAGGTGTCGCGCCGGTGACGATGGTGATCACGACGGTGCTTCAAAGATGGAGATCACAAGCACAAGATGATGATGGCCATATCATATCACTTATATTGATTGCATGTGATGTTTATCTTTTATGCATCTTATCTTGCTTTGATTGACGGTAGCATTTTAAGATGATCTCTCACTAATTATCAAGAAGTGTTCTCCCTGAGTATGCACCGTTGCAAAAGTTCTTCGTGCTGAGACACCACGTGAT